AGGGGGCAGCAGCTGACCTGTCCCTCCGCTCTCTCTCTCTCTCTCTCTCTCTCTCTCTCTCTCTCTCTCTCTCTCTCTCTCTCTGCATTCGGACGGGCGGGCCGCGAGTGTTTTTAGGGCCAACTTTGGGTTTACACGCTCCTGCGGGTCCGCCGTCCCGCCCTCTTCTTTCCTCCTCGGAGCGGGCCGGGCCGGGCGGGCCGAGGGCCCCGGCCGGTGCTCTCCTTCTTCCACCCACTGCTGTTTGTGGCATCGTATGGTAACCCGGCGTAACTTTGTTCCGCGAGTTCACTCGGGATGAACGACCCCGCCCGCTCGCCAGGCGCACGCTGTGGGCAGCCGAGACCCGAGAGGGCGCGGGCGGGGCGGGACCAAGTGGGCCGAGGGTCGGGCTCGGTCCCAGCGACGTTTGCGGGGAAGCAGGCCAGGCCGAGATGTCCCAGGTGGGGCGGGCATTCCTGTGCAGTAACGTGCTGCCGATGCGAGTATATGTGCCGCTGGCGCGCCCGCCTCCGCTCCGCCCGCCTCCTAGTCCGTGCCGCCGTCCTCGCTGCGGAGGATCACCTTGCGGAGGCGAGGCCCCGGGGCCCGAGCCCCGCCGAGCTCTCCGCCGAGCTCAGTGTAAGCACGGGGCCGGGTGTCGCGGCGTGCCGAGCCGAGGTGTTTACCTCGCTCAGCTCCAACTATTTCGGTCCCCGCCGCCCTTTGCGGACCAGGCGCCCGGATCTGTGCCGCTCACAACCAAAGGAGTGACGTCCAAAGTGTGCGTCAGACAACGAGAGGCGGCTCGCCTGCTTCCATCCCGCGCAACGTCTTCGCGGCGCTTTTTATTCTGCTTTTAGCCGTCGTTTCGTTCGTTTCGCGCCATCATGCGTCATGCGGAGCCACGCCTACGCGCCCCGGGAACAGTCAATCAAGACCATTGTTTACGTGGTGCGGTGTGCTCCGGGCCGCTCCCGGGAGGAGAGCCTCCCCCCGCCCCTCCGACCCTTTACACACAACGCTTCCGTAGGGGAGAGGAAAGTGTACTTAAGCCGTATGTGTCATGGCCTATTTCACCGTGGTTCATTCTCCACATGATAAACAGCACGGAGTATTGGCCTTAAGCTGATCTTTACAACAATTTTTCCTCCGCGGCAGCAGCGAGAGGCTGGCAGGCGAGCGGCGAGACAAATGTCGGTCCGTGATTGAGCTGTTTCGCGTCCTTTTCGTTGTTCTGCGCAACGCGAGCGCAGCGAAAACGCGCGTCGGAAATCGCTTTCCCTTCCTCGAGTTGTTTGGCGGGGCGTGGCGCGGCGCGGCGCGCTGCTGCGCCCGTCTGCCAGAAGAATGGCCCTGATTTCGGCGTCGTTGTGTGGAGCTGCTGGAAAGCCCTCGCGACAGTGTCACCAGCCGACGGCAGCCGACGGCGCCGTGGCGCGCAAGAGCAAGGAAGACGTTGGGCCACGGGGGGAGGGGGGGAGGGTACACTCTCGCCGCGAGTCGAGTGCCGTGCTGAGCCCGTCTGAGCCGCTGCGAAACCGTACAAAATCCTGAAACAGAAAGTCAATTTTGCAGGTGCTCCTGCTCCTACCCACCCCATTCTTTATTTTCGTCAAGATGGTATTGTTCTTGCGACCGCGTGCGAGTAGTTAGCTTAAGAGTCGAGGTCGACCTTCACAAAGACAAATCAAGAAAGATAATGAGAAAATTTAATTTCAGTTATTTTGGGGGTTAAAGCCGCGGTTCCTCCGCGGCCCTTATGTGGTCCCACCCCACTGCCGTTCCCTAGCTGTCCCCATACGCCTGCGGCCCCCTGGTTTCACCGCGGCTCCAATGGGGTCCCACCCGTGGCCCCACGCATGGTCCCACTCGTGGTCACGCCTGTGGTCCCCCCTGGGGTTCCCTCTGCGGTCCCCCCGTGGTCCCCCTGTGGTCCCCCTGTGGTCCCTCTGTGGTCCCTCTGTATTCCCCCTGCCGTCCCTCTGCGGTCCTCTTGCGGGCCGAGCCAGCCGTCCCACCCGGCATGATGATGAATCGGAACAACAAAAGATATCAGTATTGAATTATGCCAGGAGGAGAGGGAGAGGGGGCCACGCCAGCCCGCGCCTCGCTGCCTCGGCCACACGCCCCCACCCCACCCCCTATTCCTCGAGCGCCACCTGGACCACCGTGGGCCGAGGAGCAGAGGGCGAGGGAGGGGTGGGGGATGCGCTGCTATTGCCAATCCGACCACTATATATTTTTCCCTCGCCAGCGATGTGCCGCACAAGGCAAGGCCTCCTCCTTTTTTTTTTGCACGCGTCTTTCCTTACTGAAAGAGCACCTCGATCCCCCCTCCCCTATCACATTGCCTCCCTCCTGTTGGACTCGAATCCTTTATGCAGTCGCACGCTTGGGCGGCCAGGCTTGGCTGGCAGGCCAGGGCCGCGCCCCGCCGCGCCACGGACCGGCATCTGGTTTTGAAAACTGATAAATGGCGTCAGAAATGGTCCGGGACAAACTAACGACCTGCTGGGCTCCGGGGGACCAGCTCCGGTCGGGAGGGACCCCGGCCGGAGGGGGTAGCCGGAGGGGCGCGGGGCGGTGCGGGCGGACGACCTTGCTTGTAACCGGAACTCCTCCCCTCGCCCTTCCGTCGCTGCCACCCGCACGGGGGTGAACCTCAATCCCTGTCACTTTAACGCTGCCGGTGGTATCGCATCGCGGTACCAAGCGGGCGGAGGAGTACTCTCCACAGCTCCTACCGGCTCCCGCATTGAGTGGTGCGGCTGCCGCTCCGGAAAGTTTGTCGCCGTTCCCTCATCGGGACCCGCCAGGGAACGACAGACAGATGATTCCATTCCGTTGGGCTAACGAGGCGGCGCTGCCACAGAAGGCATTCCGTCATTGTCTCTCTCTCTCTCTCTTTCTCCCTCTGTTATATTTTTTTGCCCGCGTTGTGCCACCCTACCCTTTCTTCATCTTTCTCTGACCTTCACCTCATTTTTTATTATATCAGTCAACTTGACGGGGCTATGAGAGTAGCGTTTGCAAGTGATGTCCAAGACCGAGCCACACGCACCCACACAGACTCGCGAACAATAGCGAAACAGAGGGGGAGTAGCGCGAAACTGAAATGGAAGCAGTTTTTTTTATTTAAAGACTTCAGACAAAACGGCTAAAAAAGTCCCTCTGCAGTCTGCAGTCTACTCAGAGCGAGAGCATATCGTAATAATATTGTGTAACTTTCACCACCCGTGTGTTTTTTTAAAGTTTGGTTTGGATGCAGTTGAGGCCGGTAAAGCTGCGACATGCAGTGCTCCTAACTCGGCTGTTTTGTTTGCCAGTCCCGCCCGAGTGCGCGCGCCGCGGGCCGCAGCTGCTGGGCGCCCTGCTCCACGAGCCGCTGGAGCTGGCCTGCGCCGTGGAGGCCCTGCCGCCGCCGCAGTGGTTCCGCTGGAAGTTCAACGAGACCCTCGAGCTGCCACGCGCCGCCCGCGCCCACGGCGGCAGCACCGGCCGCCTCACCCTCGCGCCCGCCGGCCCCCAGGACTACGGCCTGTACGCCTGCTGGGCCGACAACCACGTCGGGCAGCAGGCCCAGCCCTGCCTCATCCGCGTCGTCCACGCAGGTGAGCAGCCCCCAGTAACACCGGGCACCGGGCCCTTTATATACGCCCACCACGTCTCGCGTAACAGGCTCTCATAGCGCCTGATAGGTAGGCAACATCTTGTCTGCAGCGCATACGTGTACCGCGGGCTGGCCTACCTCGAGTCTCGCAGGCGCCGAGCTCCCGACAAACATAACCAAATGAATCTGAGAGAAACGGACCCACTTTTGGAGCGATGCCTAACTCGCTCTTTAAAATTTAGTTTGTTGAGTTGTCGTACAACTGTCGGAATATCATCGCATAACCCTCTATCGAACAGAATAAATATTCGCATCTCGCATACCATTGTTCAATAACTATCGAACCCGTTATTGTAGCGATACATTTTCTGAGTTTCCCTACAAATGCCCGATAGTCTTCATAGACTATTCTCAGTTAGGTCGGTTTGCAGGCTGGGGCTGAAGCGTTCGAGGACCAGTCCCCGTGGGCAGCGGTCCGATCGCGACCTTCGCGTCGCCAGCGAGTCGCCATCGCCATACCTACTCAGAATGTTTCCTATACTACTTTTCCTTGTTGTTGCTCCCCACGCGACGCTACGGAAGACTCTTACGTAAAGTGGGGCAATAGAAGCGAACGGAGAGTTGAGGAAAAAATTGCACGCTGCTCCCCTTTTTAAAAAAAGAGAGGAAAACAGCAGGTCCGCTCTGCTGTTCGGGGGTGGGGGGTGCGAGGACCTGGGGTGGCGCGCGGGTGGCGATGGTCGGGTCGGGCCGCGTGGCAGGCGCGCTGGAAGCAGCTTTTCAATGGGGTGGGATGAATGTCACTTGCTGAGATTGCCCCTGAGTTGAGCCCCACGGTCCGCCCCCCCCCCCTCCACTTCGGCCCGGCCCAACAAGCTAAACGAGGCCCACTGTGCCGCAGCAGCACCAGCTTTGCACCCCATATCGGGGAGTGGGGGGTGAATAAGTTGCCATGATGTGATGAGGGGTTGGCAGCAGGCGGCGGGGGCGGCAGTGGCGGCGGGGGCGGCGCAGAGCGGCCGGGGGCGGCCGTGCGTGGCCGCGGCGGCCATTAGACGCGACAACACGCCGCGCTGCGCCGCGCCAGCACCACTCACCCCGGCCCGGCCCCGGCGCCGACCCGACCCCGGCTCAATTCTTGTTTTCGTTGTCCACGCCGCTCATCATAACCGATTAAGCTCCGGCACACATGACTGTTATAATTTACTCCCGCCTTTGGGAGCCTAGCTGTGAGGGGGGGGG